GAAGGGGGTGGAAGCTTACAGAATAAAAGAAAATGGAGTGAGAGAAGTCAGAGCAAGAAGAGATGTGTTAAAAAACAAATCGAATGCAAAATAAGGTCTAGAGATGCATCAAGGGAAGAGCAAAGAAAAACAGCAAAGTAAGTAGTAGGCACCCATGAGTGCAGAGATGGGGATTTAGGTACTTCATGTGAAGCAATTCACAGCAGAAGGAAAAGAGAAAAACTGATTACTTCTGGAAGGCCTCGCTGAATAGTTTAGAGTTTATCTTGGAGCTTAGAACAAGCTGCAAGATACTCAAGGCTCGTCAGCATGGGTGAGTGATAATCGGTACTTCGTGTAACGGTTTCACGTAACCTGAACAGCCTCATAGACTACATCTGATTATGTGGTTCTGTGAGCGTTGGTGGATTTGGTGGATTACTAGCATATTGCAAGAAATCTAACTTAACCGATCTGGGGATCTGGATGGGCAAATAGCCGTAACTTTGCAGTTATGTGATTTGCTTATTCTAATCTCCTTCTTGGACAACCATGTAAAAGCAGATATTATTATATCTGGTTTTGCGGAAGTTATTCCGGAGAAATTTAAAGAGGGCTACATGGAAGTGTCTGGATTTTCCAGCTTTTTGAAAAAAAAGCCAGAAATGTCCAGGCATGATGAAGTTTTAATTAACTTCAATCAACATTAAGAAACTTTCTAAGAGTTTTTTGGAAGTGTGATCTCTTCGGAGAATGGCACGACTGAAAAACTCTGCTTAAGATAGTTATCTGGTTGATCCTGCCAGTAGTCATATGCTTGTCTCAAAGATTAAGCCATGCATGTCTAAGTATAAGCAATTATACAGTGAAACTGCGAATGGCTCATTAAATCAGTTATCGTTTATTTGATAGTTCCTTTTACTACAAGGATAACCGTGGTAAATCTAGAGCTAATACTTGCTAAAAAGCCCGACTTTACGGAAGGGTTGTATTTATTAGATAAAAAATCATCGCCTTCGGGCTGCTTGGTGATTCATAATAACTTTTCGAAGCGCATGGCTTAAGTGCTGGCGCTGGTTCATTCAAATTTCTGCCCTATCAACTTTCGATGGTAGGATAGTGGCCTACCATGGTTTCAACGGGTGACGGGGAATTAGGGTTCGATTCCGGAGAGGGAGCCTGAGAAACGGCTACCACATCCAAGGAAGGCAGCAGGCGCGCAAATTACCCAATCCTGATACAGGGAGGTAGTGACAATATGTAACAATGCGGGGCCCTTTTAGGGTCTTGCAATTGAAATGAGTACAACGTAAATACCTTAACGAGGAACAATTGGAGGGCAAGTCTGGTGCCAGCAGCCGCGGTAATTCCAGCTCCAATAGCGTATATTAAAGTTGTTGCAGTTAAAAAGCTCGTAGTTGAACCTTGGGTTTGATCGACCGGTCCACTTTTTGTGAGTACTGACTCGATCGAGCCTTTCCTTCTGGGTAACCTTCTCTTCTGAGTTGGCGAACCAGGACTTTTACTTTGAAAAAATTAGAGTGTTCAAAGCAGGCCTTTGCTCGAATATATTAGCATGGAATAATAGAATAGGACGTTATGGTTCTATTTTGTTGGTTTCTAGGACCATCGTAATGATTAATAGGGACGGTCGGGGGCATCAGTATTCAGTTGTCAGAGGTGAAATTCTTGGATTTACTGAAGACTAACTACTGCGAAAGCATTTGCCAAGGACGTTTTCATTAATCAAGAACGAAAGTTAGGGGATCGAAGATGATCAGATACCGTCGTAGTCTTAACCATAAACTATGCCGACTAGGGATCGGGCGTTGTTCTTTTTATGACTCGCTCGGCACCTTACGAGAAATCAAAGTTTTTGGGTTCTGGGGGGAGTATGGTCGCAAGGCTGAAACTTAAAGGAATTGACGGAAGGGCACCACCAGGAGTGGAGCCTGCGGCTTAATTTGACTCAACACGGGAAATCTCACCAGGTCCAGACACAATAAGGATTGACAGATTG